GAGTTCATATTTGGTGCCTGGAATCTAAAAGGACGCATGAGTCATCTAACAAATAATAAAACTTTCCATAAAGACAGTCTTGACTTATTGATCTCCACAGCGAATTCGGACTCTGAATCAGAGGCCAGTTATGCGCCAGTCCCCAAGAGGGAATCCACCGGCAGTAAAAACTCAGCAGCCAGAAATAGATACAGGTGAGAGACGCCTTCCACTTTGACTGTCTCATCAAACGCATTGAGTCGTGCTTCATGCTTCAACACCTATTTTTTTTATTTATTTATTTTTATATCCACCTTCTTTTGATTATAATGGAACTTAATGCCTTTTGCCTCATTTTGCTCAACATGGCAAAAGATACACTTGAAAAACTTCCCAGAAATCATCATCTGGTTACTCACAAAAAAGGAAAAAGAAGATCAGATCAGTTTGATATAGGAACTGATTTTTCTCTAAGGGAGCTACACCCACTGACCACAGCACTGTGTCAGAAGGAAGCACACATGATGAGGGGATCATGCTTTAATGTCACTTCCTTCGGTACCTACAGCTTCCCTTGTTGTTCAGAAGGAAAATGGTTCCTACATGAAACCACTCAGTTTAATAAACTGCTTCTAAAAATAAACACTGCAGCCGACTCTTTCCAAATTAATATTATTTTATTTTGTTTGTCAGTTTTGTTTATTTACTATCCTAATATAAAACCTCACACATGTCTGAGTATGAACTCCTACGTGATCAGGAATTTAAGCAACCAAACTCGACACACAGGTATGTCTTAGGCCCCTGAAGCTTATCTGTACCAGATATTTCTTGATGTTGCTAAGCAACCACATATCAACAGAAACATTGTTAGCATTGATGCACCTCTGACACCTTTGTGAAACCACAACATTTTAATATAATATTTATATTCACAAAAGTTGAATATGATGATTAACGCCGCTATATTGCGCAAAAGTTTTGAGCTTTCTATTTGTATTTTTTGTTTTTTAAGCAGTCTTGAGCACTTCTCTAGTCTTTCTGAAGAGTTTTCAGTCCAGTCCTTGTACCTGTCCATTTTCAGAGGAAGGTTTTGATTTGTTAAGCCACTTAACACTGACCTATGAAGCATCCAGAACTAGTGCAATGCAAAGAACCAATTTTCAATCATATTTTAACTTTTTTTTTTTTTTTGCCTTATTTACTGTATTTCCATGTATGTTTGCACATTTCAGTAAATTACCTCAAGCATTTTCCATTTTCCAAGAAAAATGTCATGAAATAAGAGTTGATACGAGACTTTTGCACAGTACTTGTTTTATTTATTGCACTTTTAGCACAGGCTAGAAATAATTTAAAGCTGCAACTGTAGAAAGAGAAAGTGAAAATACGAGAAATGCAAGTTACAGCTTCACTGTGAACTGTGGGAAATCACACTGAGAGGATGTCCGACAGGTTTTTATGCTTACCACAAACACAACTGTTGCCTGATAGTAACGTGCTTTGTGCACACGGGGGCTCATTACATGACTTCCTGCAGTGATTGCATCACATAATATTCAAACTGCCGACTTAGGAAACCATATCGAAATCTCGTGTGGTTTTCTAACTAACATGCACTAACTTGACTGTCAATTTATGGCTTTTGCATTTCTCATCGTATGTTTAGGGAACATTTAACAAGATGACGGCTGAAATTTAATTCAGTTTTCCCCCCATTCTTCTCTCAGAGTGCCTACTTCAGTGCCTGTAAAGCAGGAGCCTCCTCATCGAGCCCCATCGCCCACTAGACCGCCTCCAGATGGTCAGCTGATTACTTTTTTGCTTCATCTTCAACCTCTCTTTCTCTCTGTTTTAGATAAAAGCATTAGAGCACCACAACCAAAGAAAATCCTCACAAACTGAAGTCTCCCTGCTTAAAGTTTTCATTTTTTTTAAAACCAGATTCCTCTGAGTCAGATGAGCTTTCACATCTTAGGAGGTCTGGCAGCTCTGAGCGGGGGAACAGTCAGCGCAGGTACATCAGGAATTAATTCATTAAAATCAGATTAAAATATGGCAGCCCGAAATGTGTTTTCTCTTAAATAACCAATATTACTGATTTCTGTTTTCTCCACCTCAAAGTGCTCCTCGTGCTGCAAATGGAAACGGCACCATCAGGTCTGGGATTTCAGTCAAGAACAACCCGCCCATCTACTGTAAGGCTCAGGATGTGTAGCATGATTATCATAAATAAGTTTTCAATCTGTGGGTTGAAATAAACAAACCTTTTTTGGGCATCAAGATATTTTTGTGCTTTTCTTCTATTTTATTTTTTGACATCTTATGAGTTGACATCTTTTAGGCGTCTAACCATCTCTGCATTTCTTCCAGCCAAACCTGAAGAAGAGCCCCTCTATTTCCTGCCTCCAGATTCATACCCATCATCTATTCCAGGGTGAGTGCCGCATTTGCTTAAAGCGTTGCCCCGTGTCTTAGCGTCATAGCAACCGTAATCTTATTCCTTCGGTTTCCCCTTTAGGTACAGCTCAGATGTGAAGACAGTGTCATTTATAAAGGAGAGCAGTTTGGGTCTTCGACTCGTGGGAGGCAACGACGTTGGGATCTTTGTAGGTGGAGTCCAGCCACACAGCCCTGCGTATGAACACGGGATGAAGGAGGGAGACCAGATCATGCAGGTGACCTTTGTTTGCACACCTTATATGGAAGTGGTTATGGCGGCATAGATTAACAGCGTCTTGTCCAGTTTAGAAAAACTCTTTAGCTTAAATGAGATGTTTATGCTCATTTGCATTTCTTTATTAGTTTTGTTTTGTTTTTTTGACCGTTGTTGTAGTTGTAGTTGTAGTAGTAGTAGTAGTAGTGGTAGTAGTAGTATCCATGTCATATGTACAGAGTAAAAATGACCACTGTCCAAAAACCTTATGCTCCTAGCTGTACATTTACATTGTTATTTGACACCTGTGCATTGTTTTTAAAATATTTTAAATATGACAGAAAAAGACCAGAGTCCAAGTTCATCCCTGTTCTTCTTCTTTTTTTTCAGGTTAATAAAGTTGATTTTGGCCATTTCACACGAGAAGAAGCTGCCAACTTCCTCCTTGAGCTCAGGACAGGAGAACGGGTGGAAATCTCCACGCAGCATAAGATGGACAGTAAGTGAAGAGCAAAACCTTAATATGACACCGAGATTACTTCTGTTGAGTTGTGTCACAAGTCACAAAATCTTATTTCGTCTATCTTCAGTTTACAAAAAGATCCTCAAGTCCAACCTGGGAGACAACTTCTACATCCGCACACATTTTGACCATGACCCCGATAGCCCCATTGGTCTGGGCTTCACCAGAGGAGAGGTGTTCAGAGTGGTGGACACAATGCATCGTGGAAAGATAGGCAGCTGGTTGGCTATCCGCATGGGGAATGACCTGCACGAGATGGACAAGGGCACTATCCCAAATCAGATCAAGTAAGGAGAAAGGAGACGATAAGCAGATGAAGATCTCTTTGCTTCCACGAGGACTGTTTCAGTTTTTTTACATCTGCCGTCTTTTCCTGCAGGGCAGAGAAGATGGCCAACATCGAGAAGGCACAGCGGGCAACCGGAGAGAGGCAGGCAACCGGACCGAGAGCCGAATTCTGGAAACTACGGGGGCTCCGAGGGAATAAGAAGAACGAGAAGAACATGCGACGGAGTCGCGAAGACCTGCTGCAGCTCACCATTCAGGGCAAATTCCCAGCTTATGAGAGAGTCCTGCTCAGAGAAGGTTGGCATTTATTTTTTTTAATCATACCCTCACACAGATACTTTGTTTCATGCATAAAGGTCCAGGTTTAACAATGTTTACTGGTTTTTCTCCAGCTAATTTCAAGCGGCCCATTGTTATTCTGGGACCTCTTAATGACATTGCCATGGAGAAGCTGGCACGAGAGATGCCTGATGATTATGAAGTGGCAGGTTGGTTTGTTTTGGGCTGTTTTGATACCCCTTTTTTATTCTTGAGTATTATTTCCCTCCTTTTTCACTTATTCTCCTCATCTTCTATTTTATTTAAAATATTTTGGGTGTGTTGTTATATTTCTACAGAAATGGTTCCTCGCAGTGGAAGTGCAGATGGCGGCTCCACAGTTATTAAATTGGACACTGTGAGGAGAATAGCAGAGAAGGTGAGCAGTAACATTAAAGTTATGTTTACAGTCCTGTTTTCTGTGTCTGTTTGGTATTTCCTCTTTGATTTTTTTTTTTTTTTCCTCTCTCTTCCCAGGATAAGCACCCTCTGCTGGATATCACTCCCACTGCAGTGGAAAGGCTCAACTACATCCAGTACCACCCGATGGTTTTGTTCTTAGACCCTCACAACCGCAAGGATGTCAAGACCATGAGGCAGAGGTACAGCCCCAAATCCAGCAAGAGCTCCAGACGCCTTTACTCACAGGCCATCAAAATGAGAAAACACTGCAGCCACCTTTTCTCGGGTAATTTTAACACTTAAAGCTTTTTCCAGTACATCTATAAGGAAATAAATTTTTCTCTGTCTGCTGGTACAAGTTTAAAATATTTACTTCTTTTGATTTATTTTTTGTTTTTCCCCCTTCAGCTCGAGTGGACCTGGATCCCAGCTCCCACTCTTGGTATGAAAGTCTAAAGAATAAGATTCGCCATGAGCAGACCAAACCCGTCTGGGTGTCTGAAGTCACGGTACAACACAGCTTCTCTTCACACACACATCTGTACACTAAAGCGATTATGAGATATTATTTTATATACAGATCGATGTGGTGTTTTGGGGTTGTTGTTTTTTTCTTAATTTATTGCTTTAGTTCTTATAACAATCTAATGAGAGCACCGACTCTCATGATGTAGTTTTACATCTTTCTGTTTATTAATTTTTAACTTTTTCTGAAGTTCACTTCTTACTTTATGGTTTCGTTAGTCAAAAATGAGAAAAAAGCAGATTATGGTTTCATATGAGCGTGCAGCACCAACAGTTTCTCCCCTCTCTTTAATACAGAGTTGCACATAGTGGTGATATATTTTACAAAGCAAACTGTTTTAATATTTTTTCCATTGATTATGTATTGTAAAGTTAGTTAAACACTAATAACTAAAGCTGTTTGATTTCTCTGTCTGCACAGTTGGAGAGTGGTGGAGAACAAGATTTGGATGCTTTGGACCAGAACCAGACTGACTACCTCAGTGCTGCTAGTGACCTGGAGGACACCGATGGAGAGGGCTTCACAGACGACGCCTACACTGACAACGAGGAACTGGAGGAGGCTTACCCTGGTCAGAATACAGCCAAGGTCCCAGGGGGCTCCAGGGTAGCTGGAGCTGCTTTAGCTCGATCATCCGAGCCAGCGTTTGAACACCACAGCCCCTCTATAGAACCCGAGGAAAGCGATGACGCGTACGGAGTCAGAGAAGTCCCGCCAATAATGCACGTACCTGAACCCAGGTCACCTCGTCAGACGAATTACAGCCCGCCGCAGAGCGATGCCGAGGAGGAAGATCCCTCTCATCGCAGTTTTACAGACTCAGATTTCAGCGCTCTTGATGTAGCTTCACACGCCGCTCCGTCTGAAGGACCGCCAGATTTTAGAGCCCCCGACCCCACAAGCCAGTACTCAGTGGACGAGCCTTCATACACAGAGGAGGAGCCGGAGAGCTTCCAACACGCCAGCCTGTCTGCTATCGAAGACAGATTAGAGCAGGTTTGTGCCCTCATTAAAACCGTTACTGGATACCAGTTCTTTTTTCTTTATCCTTTTACTTAAAACCAGCTGTGTTTCAGTCCTTCACTTAACAACAAACAGTTTTGATAACAAAAGATTAATTCAATTTTTGAAACAGTAAAACAAAATGAAGTATTACTTCTAGCTTTTACTCAAGTTTAACTTGAATTTAAAACGAGGGGCATTTAAGGACGTCGACTAAGACTAAACAGATTTAGTTTAAAAAAACAACAACAAACAAACATCATCCAGAGTGCCAATGTTTTATTTGTTTTGGATTTTTTGTTCCTAAGAATGTGTCTTGGGATTTATTAAACTGTGCAATGTATATTAATACATCTGAGTAATACAGTATTCAGACAAGTTCAGAGGATAAAAGGAAATAATAATAATAATACAGGCCTGGTCAGATGACATGCTGTGGTGAATGGTGAATTTCCAGAGCTGAGCATTTGTTTCCTTTAAACAATCTGTAATCGATTACAAAATTCCCTCAGGTTTTCTTAACTGAAGGTGTTGCATCCTTTAAAAACCCCCAAAAAACGCAAGGTTCATTGGTTTTTCTTGTTTGTCTACTTCTTCTTTAAAAGAACGTGACTATATTTAGTTGACACAAACGACTCAAAGTTCTGGAGGTGTTTTTCAAGGAGAAAGTTATGAAAATTTGTAGTCTGTTTTATTTCCAACTTTTTAAATGCAAAGCTCCTAAATTAAATTCACATTAACCTTTTTAATAAATTTTTCTTTTTCCCCCTCATTTTTGGAACATTATCATAAATTCTTCCTGGCTATGGAGGCGGTGCCGAATTGGCACACATATAACAACCTCATTTTAAATTCAGTATAAAGATTATAGTAAGTGTGGTTTCTGTTTTTCAAGAGGTTTACAGCCTGTTTATCATCATGAATACAGAGACTAGGACAAATCCTCAGTGTGTTAACTGGTTCGGAAAGGCTTATGTGGATTTTAAAATCCATCTCTTAAAATAGTCTCTTAAGACTAAATAATTGTGAGAAGTCACTGTTTTATATCCTCTGTTACAGGCTCGCTCGGGAGAGGAAGAGCCCAGAGATGAGCAAAAGAAAGCCCCACAATTCATCGTGTAAGTCTTCTTGAGCCGTCTGCGGGTTTATGGGGTTCATGGAGTAACGCCAGACTGAGGCTGTGCGCTGGTTTTTGACCCATCCGTTCTTCTCCCGTACAGGCTCGCACATCACCACCAAGCAGTCCAGTTCAGACGCACACAGATCCAGGGCAGCGACAGCTCTGAGGATGAATTTGACGATGCGGATGATATGGAATGGGGTCCCGCAACTGAGCTTTAGATGCCGAGAGGACTGATGCGGCTTTTCCTTGTGATCTACAAAGGACATGGAAATGATTTCATTCCCGCACTGAACTCTGTTATCTTGGATGGTATTGTCATAGTGTTTTTAAATTCATGTAAAGGGAGCCTCGTTCAGGTGTCACTGTAGCCTTTTATGACAACTGCAAGTTTTAAAGTCACCAAAAATCCTCTCAGAAGAATGTTGAGATCAAAGTGCCTGATTTTTTTTATTTTTTTTTCCCAGTGGTTTTTTTTTTTTTTTTTGTATTTATAAAAAACAAAACAAAACTCTGTGAAACGAATCAATTTCAAATATGTGTTTTATAAGAAATCATATGAAATATGCATCATTTTAGGAATAGCAAGGACATTTATACTTTAGATTTTTCTACATTAAACTGTTTGTTCTTCTGATTTTAAAATGGGTTTGTTTGATGATGCAGGACGAGGAAAACGTACTTGATCAGCTTCATTTTACCAAGCTGTCACTAAAATCACTCATATTAACATAAGTGAAACTGTGAATATTACATGTGTTACTATGGACATTCACTGGATAGTAAGAGTAAAAGATTGGCACACTATTTAAGTTACCACTGACTGTCAGAGGCGTCAAAGGACCCGGATTCACTTTGTTGTTGTTGCTTTTTTTTTTTTTTTTTTTTTTAAATGTATAATAAATTAAAAAAAAAATCTATTTGGTAATATTAGCATCTAAAAATTAAAACAGAGATTTTCTCCCAAACTTCAATCTTTGGCATTCCTTTTTTAGTAACCTTTAGTATAGTGGTGTTTACTGTAAACGAAGGATTGTACCAGGAAGTGCATCCAGCACAAAACATGCAGAGCTACCTGCTGGTTTGACTTCTTAAATAAATAAAGGTTCTGTGGTTAGGGGTCCATATTGTTATTGAAACTGTTTTAATTGCCTTTAATGTACAAACACATGAATGTGCTGTGATATTTGTGTCACTCATCGGTGATTAGTATTAATATGCTTGTACAAGAGGTGGACATGCAGATTCACACATCTGCAAAAAGTAACTGTGGAAGCAAAAGGAACGTCAATTAAACAGAACAAATACAAAAATAATTTGAATTTTCTAGATAGTTATTGTTGACACGGTTTCATTTTTCCCCTTTTTGAAATTCCCAGAAAGTAAATTTAGATTAGTTTAGCGGGATCTTCTTCTTAAAATGCGGGAGTCTGAATTAATCTGTTTTTTGTTTAACTTCATATAGTGGATCTCAAACCGCGTCGACTCAACTCTATTGAAATAAAACATGAACTGATACAGTTTCGGTACTTGCTGTGATCAAATGCTATAAATTGATGTTACTTGGGATCTATTTTGCTTCCATACAATTCATTTAACATTATTATCAGATGTAGTTTAATAATTTCTCCGCTTTCCTTCTGATAATGAAAAAATTAAACAAACCTCGGTCTAAAGCGGTTTCGGGGCGCATGTACACCTCGGGGTTTTAATTCTGTGGCCCGAGCAGGTGCACAGAGGGGCGGAAGGTTACCGTCAAAAGCGTCGTTTCAGATGTTGGGAACACACGTGTGTCAGGATGGACTGATTGCTGCTGTGAACGAGGCAACAAGTTGTTGCTTGTGTTCGCTGCTTCTGACTTCACCAGGAGAGACGCCGTCGGGACCGCATTTCCCCGCGTGCACCTCAATCTGAATTAATCCTCGCGAAGCTCGGTGGATAACAAAGTCATCCGTGCGTCTTTCCTCCTCCTCCCCCCCCCGAGGAAACTGAAACGCGCGCGCACAGCGGATGCCGGGTGCGCACTGACGGTTTGCGGTGAGTTTCTCTGTCAGTGAGCCTGCGCGGCTCGATGAGTGACACCAGGAGGAGGAAGACAGACAGACAGTTATCGTGGCTCAAACTCGACCTGGATGGCACCCAGCTCCCGCTGAGCTCGAGCGGCAGAGCACCCAAGTGGCGAGTCGGGGGGTGGGTGGGGGGGCTGTACGTGAAGCTTAAAGAAGTCGGGATGGACGGCAAAGGCACCCTGAAGATGTTCAGGAAAAAACGGGAACTAATCAAGACACCGTCTATCTCGAAGAAGAGTCGAGCAGGAAGCCCTGGGCCACAGAGCAGCGCCCCGTCTGTGAGTAGCGCATCACTTCTGGTTTCTGATGTTTAACTGTGTGTGTGTCAGATGACCATCATCTGGAGTGGACAAGTTTCTGAGAGGGCTCATTACCAGGGGTGCTTTTGTTTGTTTGTGTGTGTGTGTGTGTATTTGTGTGAGGCTCTGTAAGTTTTTAGTCTTTTTTGGGGGGGAATATTTTCTGCTGCTGTAGCTGGTGCGATCAGGGGTGTGAAAACTGTCCTCTAGCTGAAACCAGTCATTATAATGCAGTGTCACAGAGCTGAGTGCTGAGATGGGTACCTGACTGTAAGCTGACTCATATCTGGTTATGTGGCGCATAGGAAGTATGTCTCCTGTGGGGTTTTTGCGTGTGTGAGTGAGCAAGTGAGTGAATGCGTTTTGAGAATTTGTGATTAGAATGAGGACAAAAGTCTAGAGGGCAAGGAGCATGCTGAAACGTGGTGGCAAAAATAGTTACAACCCTTACTCTACAAGTCAGAGAGTTAAAAAAGCCGAGTCGAAAGGCAAGGACAGACTGGACATACTGCCCAACAAGCACAACGTATGGCTGAAACAGGTACGTTTGTCGTGTACACACAAGTCTCTGAACAGAAAATATGCACTGATGCTTTTTTTTTGGTTTCCTGTAAAGTATTTAAAATTTTCAGGCTGCTTTTGCTTGGTTGAGATGCACTTGTCAAGCCCTAAATCTACAGGCCGCTGACTTTAGTTGAAGTTTTCTGTTGAGTACCAACAGGCCAAAAAAAAAAAAAGAAACTTCTCCGTGAGTTGTGTGTTTTTTGTTTTTTTTGTTTTTTTTTTTGTTGTTTTTTTTTTGTTTATTTTATTTTTTTGTAGGTGATGTATAAAGTTATTCGACTTTCTGCTGAGTTTGCCACACCCGTTAACAGCTTGGAGTCAGGAAGTATTGCACAACGCAGCACAGGATCTTGTGAAAGTCTGCATATGATTGTTTACTAATAACAACAGTGCTGCTGGCCCCAGAGGCAAAGAAAAGTCACCTTGTTAGCCGTAATGCTGAAAGGGACGAGCTACATTGCAGTCTTGACCTTCTCTGTCTTCCTGTCCTCTCTCAGCTCTCCATTCTCCAGGAGCAGCCTCGCAGAGATGCAGTCGACATCACACTCTTTTGTTCCCCCTCATCTTCCTCCTCGTCGTCTTCAACACTTACCCCAACTTCCGCCGGGCTCCAGGATCCCTCCGCGTCCTGCCCGGGCACCCCGAGCACTCAGCACAATAAATTGGGAATGATGCAGGGGGTGGGCTGCCCGTCTCCTGTGGCCACTCTCAAGAGACCGACCGCACTGAGCCGACACGCCAGCGCTGCAGGTCTGCTCCATCACTTAATTATAGTCTTGCTCCTGCTTGCTGAGCTTGGCCCATCACAAACAGAATCTGGTCAAAACACCATTTATGATCTGTAACTGAAGCATTTATGTGGCGTTATCACCTTTTAAACATTTAATATGAGTGAAGCTGAAAGGTTTGAGATTATCAACTTGGATTTCAAAGCCTAGAAACTGTGAAACTGAGCAGTTCTTTAACTAATGATTGCTCTTTAAATAGATTTCTTACACTGTTAAATGTAAGAAGGAAAACCATGACCAGAAATTGCCATTCTACAACTTCTGACCAAGAACAAGCCAAAAAAAATGCTCTAATGTAAAGGAATAGTCAAATGTTTTGGGTAGATGCGAAGGGCCCCCTCTAACGTCACACTAGTGAGCATATAAGCTTGAAACTGTTGCACATATGCAGAAAACCAAATGATACAGATCCCCACGTTTGTTTGTTTTTTTCTTTTCATTACAGTTTGATTGTATTCTCTAAAAGTCGTGAAAAAAAAAAAAAAATATATATATATATAATAATATATATATATAATAAATATATATATATATATATATTATATATTTATATAATTTTTCTTTTTATATTTTATTTTTTTTTTTTTTGTGAATTCATGAAGATTATTCAGTAAAAATTGAAAGTCTCACATGAAGACTAAATGCGTGTTTGTTGAGTGATATTTCTGTGTCTCCTCAGGGTTCCCGCTCCAGTCGTGGGTTTTCACCAGAGGTCAGGGAAAAGGGGCTATAACCCCGACGACTCCATCTGACAGTCCAGAGAGCGCAGCCATCGAGGTGGAGGACATCCCAGCCCTGCTGAGGGATGTCGCACGCTTTGCAGAGGCTGTGGAGAAGCTGAAGGATGTTGTTCTGGCTGAGGGTGAGAGCCGTGACAGGTTTAAGCTTTGTCTTGTACATCTCCAACACAAACCTGCGTGAGAAGCCCCCAAATACATCCTGTCAGACAGGCTTTTGTTTGGTCTTGTTAGCAGCTGCAGTCTTCCCTGCCAAACTCTGACTTACAGAAACGTGCTGTGTCTAGATTTGTTTTGAACAAAGCGCTCTGGGAGTCCCTCAGAGCTGAGCACATTAAAAATATCACTTGTTTTCCCCACTGTTGGGGCAACACACACTTTCCTGCTGACACGAAGCCATGTAAGGTTTTGAATAGTCGCCCTCCATTCAGTAGCTTTGGAGAAACAACAATAGTGTTTGCACTCTCTCTTCCCTTTTGTGTCACTCCATTTTGACAAGAGCTTACACAGAGAGGACATGAGGGATCCAATCTTACATCCGCCGTGTTCAGCGACACATGTGCGCGGTGTGCAAGGGGGGAGGAGGAGGAGTATGTTATGGGCGGAGCATCTCTGCACAAGCAAGCTTTACAAGAGGCTCTGAGCTTCCTCTCTCCAAATGGAGGCAGCGCGCTCACAAAGACAACCGCACGCTTGTCTCCAGCAGGAAACCAGTTTTTTGTTTACTGCAGACATGTTCTTGTGCTCCACGTGCACGATGCAGTGAGGCTTTAAAAAAAAAAAAGGGCCATATCACAGGGGTTTGAAAAAAAACAAAGAAAGTCCACCTGCTGAATGCTCAAACTGTGTTGTCTTCTCTAGTTTCTGTCGTGTTTTGGCTAGTTTAGCTCACTTGTCTGTTATCTGGCTCTGTTCTGTCATGTTCTCCACCCACAGAGAGCTTTCTAAACAGGAAGCCATGATGGATTGTCTCTGACAGAAAGGCCTCGTCCGCACTTCCTCGTCTGATAGTCTGGCTGCGTTGCAGTGATGCGACACTGATCACTTTCAGAATCAAAAATACAATTGCGGCGTTGAGGTGCTCTTAATCTAAAGCAAAACCTCTTTTGACATTAAAAACTGTTCTCAGAAACTACAAAAAGAACATTTGAGCCACCGGGAAAAAAAATGTTGCAGAACACCACAGTTGGTTTGTAGTGTTGCAAAACAATAGAAGGGACCACATCCTCTCCGGCACTGTGTTTAGGTCACTCTGTTCTTGTAGTGTGCTGCTGCTAATCTGATACTCTGACACACATTTCGAGACGAGGGTGATGGACCAGCTGCCCTCTGCTCTCCTCCACCAGCGAGCCAGTGTGATTAGATGACTCGATGGAAGAATGCGAGGTTGCAACATTAAAGGGTTGACAAAACCGGTGTCTGGAGGAAAGGAGGCTAGAAATGTGTC